ATTATATATTTTATATAACTTTGAAGTAAGAAAGTTTTTATGAACTTTTTTGTGAAGAACTGAACGGTGTTCAGTGTCTAAGTTTGTACCTCAAAAATATTCTTTAATGGCTTTTATTTCTGTTATATACTGAAATGATTATTGTTTATTAAAAAAAATTCTTACAATTTCATATATAAGTTTTATTTTACAATTTCAATTTAACCTTTTTAAAACTAAATAAATAAACAATTATAATTGTTATATATTTTTGCTCAATAATGCGAAATACATATTATATATATAATTTTCAAGTAGCATTAATGAAGCTATAAACTAAAGTTCTATCGAAATGAATCACTCTTTTCAGAATAAATTTATTTCAAATTTTTTATACAATACAAAATAAATATAACTCAATTTTATCTGATGTCTCATAAATTTTTCACAGAAAAATGGTCCAAAAACTGACTAAATAGACCACGATTAATATAGCACACAATATTCATTGCATTTTTATTTAAAAAATAATTGCAATAGTTTTATTAAAAACAACAATATTAACTTATCAATCAATTGTACATATTTTTTTCTTATATTTTCTATTAATTAATGCTAAAAGATTTGATTGCAATACAATTTAACAACTTCTTAGCTGTCTTACTAAGTATATCTACTATGTGTATATTATATAGTTTACTATTATCTGTTATTGTAAACAAAAAATATTAACGAGCAATATATTTTTGCGTTGCAATTTTTCAAATACGTAATTAGCAAAAATTTTCATCTCAGTGCAAATATACAAGTAGGTAGTTAAATACATATCATCAATAAACCTGAAAATATCAGCAAACACTCACTCTATATCCGTAATTAAACAGTATGTTAAGTACACAATCAACTTGAAATGCAAAATAAATCAAATTAACAATTACTAATGTAAAACATTACTAAAGCTATTACCTATTAGCCTTGTAGCTATCAACTTAAATATCAGTAGGTTTCTTTTTCATACTATTAAAACTTTTTCCCACTATATCCTACTTTCACTAACTCAAAGAAAGTCATTTAAAATGATATCATTTCTTTTTTAATTACTTTTCTCGCAACAACCTAATAACTTGTAAAGCTATGTTTACACTTCACATTTACAAACCTCAACGACACTTATACACTTAAAATTAAGTGTTTACACTGTGTTTTTTAATTACTTTGCTCGTAACAACCTGCTAACTTGTAAAGCTGTGTTTACATCTCACATTAATTAACCCCAACTATACTTGTGCATTTAAAATTAAGTGTTTAGACTATAGTAACTAAATAAGCACACTATAAAATTTGACAGACAATACCTGGCAGACAATTTCAAGTTATTGAATAAATTTAGTAAATTCAATTATTAAAAGTTTATTAACAATTTACTATATATAATAGACCCAGCTTTAGAAAAGATACTATGGCCGTGTGCGAGTTCGAGTAAATTGATAATAAATTGAGGGAAATAGTAAATTATATCGATATTGCACTGAATGTTCGTATTTGCTAGAATTTGTAAATTGAATTGTAGGGCAAATTAGATAAAAATTATATAAATTAGGTGTTACCATTGTGAAAATTTTATAAGATGTTTAATAAATAAACAAAATAAAAATAAATAAAAAAATTTGAAAACCTTTAACAAAAAATAATAAATAAATACAATAAATTTACATAAGTGCAGTGCAAAAAATCCCTATAAAATTTCAATTTACTTTATCTCAATTTACTAAAATTCGCACATGGCCTATATATAATACTTTTTATCAAAAATTTTTTTGTTTTTCTTTCAAATTTGATCGTCAATATAATCATTATAATTATCTAAAACATCTTGGCATCCGTATCGCTACTAATTGCTATACAATTAGCGAGTTAATTTTGAAAATGGAATTTTTTCGATACGGCATTCAACTAATTGAATTAAATTAGTAGACAGTTAGGTTGTTTTGACACAATTATCTAAAACATTTTCGTGTTGGTATTGCTACTAATTGCTATACAATTAGCGAATTAATTTTGAAACTGCGTTAATCATGCTGTAAATATAAACACTTTATATGTGCTATAGGGCATTTAATTGTCCATATGATTTAAACAACTATTTTAATTGAATTTAAATCAATTCTGAAAATGTGTAAATAACAAAAGCTAAGTGTTTGGTGTGGCCTAACATATTTCTAGGAAATGCTTTAAAATGTAATTAATTAGTTACTTGTCACGTGTATCTGCGGCTTCTAACAAACGAATCAAAGTAAAGTTTAGTAAAATTAAAACGGGTTTGTTATAAATTACAAGGTCAGCCAGTTTAGCACCGACTGCAGTTAATAATGTAATTGCAAAAACATGCAAATTGACTGCAATCTTCTGAATCACAAGTGCAAATACTGCTGAGCACTAATTTTGAAAATTTTAAATACTCCGCAGTTGAAGTACGCAAATGTTAATGATAAGTTGTCAAGTATCTCACAACAAAGCCGTAAAATCTTAATGAAAATTACAACATAATTCTATAAATAAAACAATTGAGATCTGAAATTAATACTAAAAATAGTTTAAAATTGTTAATTTTCAATTTTAGAGTTCGGATTTCGTGTTTATGTTGAACTTTTGTATGCAAAGTTCTGATTACGAGAAAATTTAAGTGTTAACCTACAATGAATATTTATATTTTGCAATTTGTTTTACTAAATTTATTTGTAAATACACGTTGTCTGGAATGGAAAAATTGCTAATTTAATATTACTAAATGTGAACAATAAAAAATTAATTTTACATTTTATGTTCTTATTTTAAAGCATTTATTTTGTCATCACAAAGTTTCAATTTCACATGTAAATTAATGCATATTGTTAATATGGCATAATTAAACACTAAAATTATATTAAAAAATTTTTTAACAACACTGTTTATAGCACAATAATTTTAATAATTAAACAAATAACTTCTAAGAGTTTGTACGAATTAATAAGTATATGAATTTAATTTTTTTAAAAAAAAATTATTATTAATTTTGAAAACAATTTACTTTTATATGGCTTATGTTAAAGGTAAACCACAAAAAAACCTTTTCACCCTGACGCAATCGTAATTCGAAAGTTTCTACTTCACTTACGCCTTCTAATATTTCGTATTTCAAATGTAATCAATATTTCTTTAAATTGATATTCTATCGAATTGATGATCTTGCACTACATCCTCTTTCTCATACTGTCACTTGAAACATGTATTTCGCTGGAGCATCACCTTCCATCCTCAACTCGAGCCAAAGAACTCTTTGGATATTTATTCGCTGCACAATGTGAGTGTCAGGGTTAAGTTCACAGAGCTCAGATTGTATATATCTGCTGTAGCCTGAATATTGTATAAAGGATCATGCTGAGAATTAATCACTTGAATATATCCCGTACTAATATTGTGCTATTGTCTATGTTTCTATGAGAGATAGAAACATAAATAGAATAAATAATCTCTAATATATAAGTTATAATAACCTCTGCATTACTTACTGAAACCATAGTAACAGTTATAGGTAGTAATAGTTTTTTGCCGCAACTTCAAACTAATTTCGTGGTAATAATTAAAAAATTTATTGACTACACAGATTATCCAAACATTTAATTCATATTAAAACTTTTTTATTATTATATATTTTTTTTATCAATTAATTTCACTGACAACTGTCGACTGAAACTGATATCTAAAAATTGAAAACATATTATATTAATTAAATTATACTATTTTTGATTATTTTATATATAATATACGTATATATATTTGTTTTAAATTAATTATCAGTTTTATAAATTACTTTTAAGTTATCCTCCCCTTAGTGAATTGTTAGTGTTTATATCGTTAGTAAGAAGATGACTTAAAAATTGAGGGGCAATAACTTCTTATTGCCCCTCAATAACTCATTAACGAGGCAATAACTCTTTAATGAAAGATATTTAGAAGATAAACAAAATTTATCTGTATGTATCAAAGTAATCGTGCAATATATATTTTCTTCAGAAAACATACTGCAAAAACATTCAAAGAGGAC